TTAAATGTCTGTTTTCACCAGTGTTTGGACATGTTGACAGTCAAATGAATTATTTCATACGTCACTCTTTCACAGATTTTGCTGAAGCAATTTTGATAAGGTCGTAGCCAAGTGTTTTACTCATTTCAGACAAAAAAAGTTGCATGATAGGACAAGAGCTGAAATTTGTACTTATAATGTTGTAATTGAGAGGGCTGGTCATTTTTCTCCAAATATCAATGAAAAGGAAGGCGAGTAGACTACTTTTAAACACCTCGGTAAAAGGCTGGAGTCAACCAGCACCAAAAGCAACGATATTCCTGTCCTCGGTGTATCCGCCGTGCAAGAGGCCGCTCGCAACAAACTGTCAAACCTGTCGTGTGGCAGGGATTCGCTCCTTACCACTTCTTGGCACATAAAGTTTAGTGCCAGGCGGGATAAGGTGAAACGCAGAAACGCGCAGAAACGCGCCGGAAACCCAAACCTGCGGCACAGGTACAGGTAACGTCACGCGTATCACTGCGCAAAGTATCGCCGCATAGCAGCTATCCCGCAACTCTCCCTCTCTGCTTCCCAAACATACCTGCAGGTCTGTGCGGCTCCTGTCCGTTGGCGCTGGCTGCGGCAGAATATAAGGACTAGAACATACCGAGGGAGTGGAAGGAGAGAAAAAAAACCCGGTTCAGGTTTAGAGATTTTTGTCCGCAGGATAGAACCCCTGGCGTTTGGGATTAAACTAGTCCTCTATGGGTTTACAGAGATCGCGTTTAGCAGGCTCGTGCCGTTTCCAGCTCTCTCGCCAGGAGCTTTTTAGGAGATGCACGCCCCCTCCAACCGCTCCATCTCTCCCCACGTCGTTCCCCTCCCTCTCCCTTTTTCCTCGGATAAACACGATCGCCTACCTACCGGCCTACCGCCTGGCATGGCTGTTACGCAACAGCAGGCGGATACGCAGTTTCACAATGAGCGCCGTCTTAATCCATCCACCTTTACAGCGCATCCTGCTCAGACCGCTCTCACTGGGTAGTGCCACGACACGTGAACTGACATCATCACACGGAATGCTGCCACCATCCAAAAATCTGGGGTCGCGCGTAAGGGTTATGGCTGAAAATAAGATGTGAAATGTAACCGTTTCTATGGCTAAACGCGGAAAGGATGCTGGGAAGGTCAAATGAGGATGCTGTCTCAAATATCTAGCTGAGTGGTGCAGCAGCTACAAGGACAATTAGCTGAGCACAAGCATGTGTATGGAAGCACAGACTTCATTCTGCTCTCCTTTCTCCCCCAACCCGGGTTTGCAGAAACCACCTTGGGGCAAGCTGATACCCTTTCCTCATTCTGTATCTTGAGCTCAGTGCCGCTCCTACATGCCCTACCTGATTGTCTATCTGGCCCACAGTCACGCAGAATTTCATGTTTGGACAAGTTGAGGCTGCGGCTTTGTTCTGCGCCATAAGCTCAGCCCAGCTACATTAATATATTTACAAAGATCTTAAACACAGACTCTCACCTGCCTTTAAAACAAGTCTTTTTTCCTGACACCCATTCTCTTCGTCACTTTCATTAAATGACCGAGTCCTAAAATAACCTGTACAGCTCAGAGGATTGTACTAAGGCCATTACATTACTACTGAGCCAGCAGGAGACACTGAAGGTTTTGGACAGGTGAGGCTGGAACGATTAAGGATAGGATATAATCACATTATCAACATGGATTATGACTAATATTCTATTGGTAGCAGAGAAGCAGTTGCACCGTACATATTCTAAGGCATCAATAAAATTAGGAAGGGAAGAAAATCTATTATTCTGCAATTCATTTGAATAGGTAACAGATTTGTTCCTCGTTCTTTAGTAGAATTGTTTCTGCGTTAATGGCTTGTCATCTGAAACTTGATTACCAGAGTAACATTGGTCACTTGGATTCACAAATCTTCAAATGAAAAAACAAAGTTTTTCTATCCTTTTGGCATCAAATCTTTCATGTTTCATCTTCCCGCTGAATTGTGTTGATGCTGACACTTCCTGTCCAATGCATTTTATGCATGTTTTTGTGCAAAAAAACAAACCAACTAAAAACAGATGATGAGTCTTTCCACTTGGGGCAAACCCTCGGGTAAACTGTGGGCAGCCAGGTGGGAGGAGCTCCGGGGCATTCGAATGCCTCAGGAGAAATTTGTGAGACATTTGGAGCGATTCACATCCCACAGTGCAGCAATGATTCAATTTGAAGAAGGATTTAAACTCTATGCCATGAAATTGTGTGACTTTGCTGTGATGTTAAAGCTGTCAGCGATGCTCCAAATCAGTGTAATCTCACAGTTCTGACAGATTATTGAAGCCTCATCAGATTTTCTCCAAAAGCTGCTTTGAACAGGCACTTTATGAAAAAACATGGTCTAGATATCCACTCCAAGACACCTGGAATCAAAACCATCACAATTCTGACTCCATAAAGTGGCCTTGAAATGTATAGTGAATGAATAAGATATTAAGAAGAGTTTTTGAGTATTAATATTTGTCATGATTGGGAGGGTGGTGTAGTCCGGGAAAGGAACCTTTGTGTGTGGGGTGTACATGTTCATGGGTTCTCTCCAGGTACTCCTTCATCCTCCCACTGTCAAACAACCTGCATGTTATGTTAATTGGACGCCCCAAATTGCCCTTAGGAGTGAACGTTTGTGTCTGTGTGGCCCTGTGACAGACTGGTGACCTGTTTGGAGTGTAGCCCACCTCTCGCTCAATGACAGCTGGCTTAGGCTCCAGCACCCCCTAAATGGAAAAAGCATGTGTAGAAAAATGAATGGCTGTTACCTTAGATGGAGCCATTAGGGCATTAAAACAGAAGCTGAAAATCAGAATATCAAATGGTAGACAGTATCAGATATCTGACAAATGAAGCCCCTTTCATTAAAGACAGCCATGTTAAACTCCATTTAAACACACTCCTGAGCTTAGAAAGATTTAGATCCAAAACACATCTGTGAGATCGACTTCCATGTTTGGACTGTTGAACCCAGCTGCTGCATTTATCATTAGAATGCAACAAATCTAAAATATTTTCCTTGATTGCTTGTTTTATCCATTTTAGGTATTCTATCAGATATTGTTATGTATTACCATCCGTCACTGTTATTGAACAATGAAAACCATTACTGCAAATAAGTCGGCAGGGAATAGAGGCCAGTTTTCTCTACTTCAATGAGGCAATGGTTGGGTGTACTGCAAACACTGATTTCTCTACGGCTCCACAGACCAACCGTCACTTGTTAAGCATTTAAATAATGTGATAACATAATTTAAACTAAGCTCAGAGAGTATACTGATGAAAACTCCTAATGATTGAATACGACTGACCATAGCCTTAGTAATGGGCCTCTGACACACGGAGCAATCGTTACACAGGGGAAACGAAAAGGTTGTGTTATTGGCACTGTAACAGTAGAATGTTGCAAAATAGATGTACTTTACTGCCAGTGATCTCATTGTGTGTTGACAACGCTGTCTTGTGTGTCAGAAGAAGATTAGTCTTTTTTTTTCCTGTTTAAAATCTCAAACCCTTCTGGTACTTTTAGAGAGACATTATTTCCTTAAATGGTAGTAAATAGGCACATTGAGGTCTTCAAAATGAACAACCCTTGAAGGCATAACAAACTGAGACCCATCTATTTCATTATGCAGAAGCTTCTGATCCTTAAGCCTTCATACTGTGTGTTGGCCTTTACCCCTATTCCACTTTCACCTATTTGGATTTCTCTGATTTTCTCCTCTTTTTGAAATGATTATTTTCTTGTTCTTTCCACCCCATCTTTATTCAGCTTCCCTTCTCCACTGCCCTAAAGCTGGATCCGAGCTTCCGCTTAGCATAACCAGAATGGGGATGAAAGCTGAGTCACATATTCATTAACTCACATGGCTGCACTTTTGTTCCACAAATAAAACACTCCTAAGGATATATGACACGCACGTACATACGCAGCAACCACATATGCAATGCATCGTCTCTCTTGATCACACACGACCGGAGACATTTTGTAAAATGGGGGTTGATGGTCCTGTGTGATGCCGTCTCAAATTTAAAAGATTCTTCTATGTTTGCGCCCGAACAAATAAAAACTACTACTGGGTCACTGCTTTAGAAGAGATGCTTCAGAGACACAGTCATGTTGTCAACAGAGACAGGCACACGGGCCCCGGGCACTGACAGAAGATAACTGCAATCTCTGCTATAAAAAGATCAGCTGACACAGTCCATCTGTGCCTATAGATAAATATACACGCTTTGAAACTCCATAGCCACCCAGTCAGACTGCTTTTCAGGATCCAGCAGCTATACTATTCTGATGCATGGTTTTCTCTGAAGAGCCACAAAAACATTTTGGAATAGTATGACCTTTTCTCGCATGCACACCGATGCTGTGTTGATACACAGTCAGACTAGAGCCAGAGGGGTTGTTAGGAAATGTTCACTAACAGTATATACTGCATTTTGTTCTCATAATAAAGAAAAAACCAAAGAAAAAGGAAGGCCTAAATAATCTACTATAATCCTTAAGCATGCTGTTTTATTATGTGTGGTGCCACCTATGGGTCATTTTTCATAATATTCTACATGTCTCACTGCCAGCATGACTGGTATTATTTGCATCCATTTTCTATCCTGCTTATTCCTGGTAGGGCTGTAGGTGGAGCACATCCCATCTGAATAACGTTTATGATATTCATTTTAAATCATGAACTCAATAATCATGAAAAGAGAGTACAGGAAGGTATATTTTATATGTAAAAAACAGGCACCAATGTCTTCTTTTCAATTACAGAGCTCATAGTCAGGAAAATTCATAGTCAACATGTTGATAAAAAAAGACAAAAACCCTGAGACGCTGCACTAAAACTCATTCTATGTCATATCTGTAAATAATTAATCAATCACACATTTATTTTTAATTGGTTTACAAATAAAACTGGCTCAGCAACACCTGTCATCTGACAGAAGAAGCAGATCTATCTGATAACATCTATTTCTGCACAGAAACCTGAGCCTTCCGGCATTTTGACTTGGTTTTCAGGTTAGTCTTGTCTCCATCAAACTCTCTCTTTAGGTTTGATTTCTTGCACTTCTCATCCTCCTCTTTCCTCGTCTTCAGAGGTTTAGGATGTGTCGTCTCTTTCAGACTCTGGAACTTCTTGAGGTCAGCACAAAACAAAACCTAAAATAGACAGAAGGGGGGTTGTAACACCAAATGGACCGGCTTTAAGAGACAGAAAACAAACAGATGCCAACTTACAGAATGTGCCCATCCAGCATATGGCCCCCATAGCTTTCTAAAAAAGTCTCCTGTGTGGAAACAGTTCATAAGATGCAGTGTTAGTGGATGAAGGAGCGTAATACTGCAGAGAGGGTGTGTTCATACAAACCGATTTCTTTGTGAAGTTTATCTGTAAGACTCTTCTGTCCATTATTAGCAGCATACTTATAGTCCCGCTTAGCAATCTGCCACACATGTGTATCCACAGGTACAGCCTCTGGCTTATCCAGAGACATAAGACACACGCAGTCCGCCACCTACACCATGACACAAACCCCTTGATTGGACAAAGCTATGAACATTTCACATAATATTTGTCCCTAATAATATGAACAGTGAGCGGCACGCTGCTGGTTTTCCTGATACCTTGGTGCCAACGCCGGGAAGAGTCCGAAGAGCATCACGGGCTTCAGGGTACGGGACTCTGCGTAAGCCTTCTAACCACTGGAGCCCGTGGGTGTCCAGGATTTGCTTGGCACTCTGCTGGAGGAACCGGGCTCTGTATCCAAAGCCGAGATCCCTGAGACGAGCCTCTACACTGATGTCTGCCGATCAGAGCAGAGACAGACACACAAATAAGACAAACCAGCGAAAAATAACTAATCCTCTAATCAAAACCCTCATCAAATGATCTCCAGAATATATTTTATGTACTACAAGACCGGGGGGGAAAAGGGGAAAAAACTATTAGTGAGGGATGACTTGAAACTCTCAAGAGAACCTGCATATCCAACAATAATGCTACCAGTAGGATCATAAAGTGGTGTGTGAAGTCCATGGAAAAGATTTGAAGCACCTGCAAGGGCAGACAGGGTTGGAAAGTTGTAGTAGGAGGTTTGATCCAGCTGGCACAGGGGTTCGCCCAGGCTCTGACACAGTCTGTCCACCATGCCTTGAATACGAGAAATGTGGTTGTTCGAGGTGCAAATGAAGGAAAACAGGCACTCGGTGGGGTCTTGCCGCAGCATTCGCACACCTGCAGAGCAGCCGGATGACACAATCAGTGCTTGAGACACATGTGTCATTCATATCTCGATTAAAAAAAACACACACTGACCTGTAAAGATGTCCGCAATCTGCTTGAAGTGGCCATCAGCTGATCCCCATTCCTTGTATAGATCCCCCAGCTTCACGTGCAGCTGGAAGTAATCTCTCAGCATCTCTGCCTCCACATCACTGTTCTGTTCACTGGTCACAGCACGTGAATCCTCTTCTTCCTTCCACGGAGCACCTTTACGTCTCTTGCTCTCAGCAACGTTTTTCTCGCCAGCTCTCCTCTTAGTGTCACCTCCTTCCTTCTGCCCGTCCTGGTGGTTCGCGTACACGTGAAACCAAAGAGTGTCATCTGTTTGAGTCAGAGTCCAGACTCGCCCTCCCATCACACCAGTCCAGTGTCCCTCTGCAGTTTCCCTCCAGCTGCGGGTTGAGACGTGCGTTAATGAAAAGTCATAGCAGGTGGGTGTTAAATGTATGTTTCTGAGAGTCAAAACAACCTACCGGAATGATTGTCCACATGCTAGCGTAAGATCCAAGCGCAGTTCTGACCTTAAACAAGTAAGAGATCTCCACATTTTTGCCCCCGATGACAACACTGCATGTTTTGCCATAGTTTGTTTGGTGCCGATCTACCACAGTGTCAGAATCGTGTAAAAACTAGACATAGCTCAGGCAACAACAACAAAGTGACATCATAAAGATGCATGGGCGCATGCTGTAGAGTTCGCAAAGATAACTTTCACGGAGTTGATTTAGGATTGTATCTGACGGACAACAAAAACCTTTTAGTGCGTTTGAAAGACATACACGTATTACAAAAGAAAGTTTTCCAACGGAGTAAAGGTTATCTGTGAGTAAGTGAAAGTGTGTACTGTATAACTAGTAACTGATTACGACGCAGATATCAACCGTATTGACGGAAATGAACGAAATCTAAATCTGATGCAACATTACCTTGATTCCAATAGCCCCTCCCTCGCTGATAATAACAAACTAATGATTGGCTCTGTTTGCGGAGTAGGCGGGTACTTTTATCAAACATGTTTGTAATTGGTCAATGCCTTCCCTTCCTACTGTCTCGTATTGGATGATATGTTTTGCACTTTTTTCTCTTTCGGTTCCATTCAGGAAGTCCCCCTTGCTCTTTCTCTGGTGAGGCAAGCCGTGTGCGGCGTTGGCGTGTCAGTGTGGTTCTGACTTGTATAAAAGACTAATGGCGGATACATTTACACTTTTCACCTCCATTGGGCTCAGTGAGCAGAAAGCGAAAGAAACTTTGAAAAATGAAACGCTAAGTTCAGCCCTTAAAGACGCAATTATTCAGGTAAGTGCTGTCGGGGACATCTATGGCATGTGGCTGACCTATAGTATTTAGCTCACCCACTTGTCTACACTTTATAGTTTAGTTTCTGTTTGGAAAATGCGGTAGTCACTAATGAAGTTGGCTTACTTCTTTTCCTGTTCTAACTTTGATCTTTGCTGTGATAAATAGACGCTTCTTAGATTCATTAGCAAGCAAGGTTTCGAAAGAGAATGATGCACATTTTTAATCTCTTTTAATAAAATGTCACTAGGCACAGCGTATCCATGGGGCCTCTGGAGTGGACAAAGCAATGGGCACGCTACTGTACAGTATGGTTTCTCGCCTTAAAGACATCAAACGCCTGGCATTTCTGACGGACAGCATTGCCCAACGCAAAGTCTGCACAGAGCTCCAGCTGGCTGGTAATTTCTGACATTTTTTGCATGTTGCATCTTCACATGCAAGAAATTCCATAACGATATGATCACTGGGCAAACATGGGGAACTTTATATCACAATAATACTCTTGTAACACACACAGAGACTGAGCGTTATTGTGTTGGTGAGCCTTTAGTTACCTGATTACCTGCCAGCTTACTGATATTTTTATCCCAGCTGCTTTAGACTTTGTGAAGAGTCACCCTCAAGACCCCATCAGCCAAAAAGAGTTTGATGAAGTATGTGGAGTGGGCATAGTCATAACACCAGAGCAGATCGAGGAGGCAGTAAGTGCATAATCAGTTTCCTGCTGACTTATAACAAGCTTTGCCAATCAAGAGGTGTTTAGTGACATAGGAATGTCATCCAGGTAGAGTCCGTGGTCAAGAAACACAAGGAACAGCTGTTGATGGAGAGATACCGCTTCAACATGGGACTCCTAATGGGTATGATCCCACTATTATTTGTTTGAATGGTATTGCAGCCATTATGGTCTAAGAGACAAGCAGAATATCTGACTATGTGTCTGTTTTAGGTGAAGCCCGTTCAGCTCTGAAGTGGGCTGATGGAAAGGTGATCAAAAATGAGGTGGACATGCAGGTGTGTTTGGGGAGTGTGATGGCATTTAGGATAATTTGGTTGTGTTTGAATACACACCGCTGGTTTGTCTCCCTGCTTCATATAACAAGCTGTGTCTTTGATCTTAAAGGTTCTGCACCTCTTAGGGCCCAAAACGGAAGCTGACCTGGAGAAGAAACCAAAGGTACGACAGCTTCCTGGGGACGTCCAACGTTTTTAAAGGCAGTTCTTAATTTTTTGATCACCCCACAATTTCAATTGTGGGTTTAAAACTATATTAAGAAGTCCCTGTCAGCATGGATTTCTGCATAGACCTAACATAAACTCTGATCTTTTCTGCGTAGAATCTGACTAAGCAAAAACATACACATACTTTTGCCTTGATTTCAGATTTTTATTAAATATGGTAATTAATTAATTGAATATAGTAAATACGTATGTGAACCTCTGTGCTGAAGCCCATGTTTCTCCAGGGTCTATAGCCTTAAATGTCAGTGTCCCACTGTCCGTATTTCTTTGTTGTTTTACTTTGGAGTACAATCTTCATGATCCATTACTTACATTATATATACATATATTATTTTTTGCCTTTCTAAAACTGTGACTTGACATTTGCTCTTGTTGCAGCCGCAGAAGGCGAAAGTTGCAGAAAACGATGTCAAGGCAAAGAAAGAGGAGGTGGCAGTGAATGGTAAACACAGCAAATGGGAGGAAATGTACATTTTGTAACTGCCAGCAGGGCTCTCTTAAACTGTTTCTTGTTTGATTAGGCGACATTGCGTCTGGGGAGGGGAAGTCTCTAATGGAGCAGCTCAGAGGAGAAGCTCTGAAGTTTCATAAACCAGGTGAGTAAACACAAACGAGCCCCTAAGCGTTGTAAAAGTGGCAACCTGTTTGGTTTAAATGCATTGTTGTGCACACACTTTGACTTTACATTTTGCTCTCTGTGACGCAGGAGAGAATTACACAACTGAAGGTTATGTGGTTACGCCAAAAACAATGGAGCTTCTGAAGAAGCATACAGAAATCACTGGGGGACAGGTATAGGCTTTAGAATCCAAACAAAGGAAGTCAGATATTCTAGAGGAAATGCTCGTCTTTGCTTACCTCCTCTTTTATGTTTCTTATCTCTTCTAGATTCGCACCCGTTTTCCTCCTGAGCCCAATGGCATCCTTCACATCGGACATGCCAAAGCCATAAATTTCAACTTTGGTTATGCAAAGGTTTGAGTTATTTTCATAGTTTTTCATTACTATGAAAGATGTTAACCTCTTCAGACTTTCTGTCACCTAGCATATTGGCGTCTTCCAACTATCTTAGTGCACAGTCAACACCAGGAATAAGTTATTATAATACAAAAAAAAATCAGTTACTTTCTCCAAACCTCTACTCTTCCTGTAGGCAAACAATGGAATTTGTTTCCTGAGGTATGATGATACGAACCCTGAGAAGGAAGAGGAGAAGTACTTCACTGCTATCAGGGACATGGTGGAATGGCTGGGTGAGTTGGATTATTGGACTTTTAAAGCAACTTGTTTTAATGGAGCCGGTTTCTTATAAGTACCACTCCCATACACAGGCTACAAACCATTCGCTGTCACTCATGCGTCAGACAACTTTCAGAAGCTCTATTTACTTGCTGTGGATCTCATCCGCAGGTAAGCAGAGGATGCACAGCTTAGGTGTGTGCTGGTGGATGTGTGGAAAGAAGGTGGTTGATTTCCCCCATTTTTCTGCCACCAGGGGTCTTGCATATGTGTGCCACCAGAGGGGCGAGGAGCTGAAGGGCCATAATGTCCCTCCATCCCCGTGGAGAGACCGACCCGTTGAAGAGTCACTGGTGTTGTTTGAGAGGATGAAAAAGGGTCTGTTTGCTGAGGGAGAGGCCACACTCAGGATGAAGATGGTCATGGAGGATGGGAAGATGGACCCTGTGGCGTATCGAATCAAATACACAGCTCACCATCGAACTGGAGATGAATGGTATGTGAATGGTACTTTAAAAAAAAAAGTTTATTTAAATTTGATTAGCATATCTTTCATACTACAAAGTTTGTTTTCAGAACACTAACTATTCTCTTTTTCTCATTTAGGTGCATATACCCCACTTATGACTACACCCACTGTCTGTGTGACTCTATAGAAAACATCACACATTCACTGTGTACCAAAGAGTTTCAAGCCAGGTATATGGGAACTCTTTGTGTGCTTAGTTTAAACTTTTTCTTTCTGTTTTTGGCCAGTTGTTTGACCTATGTACTCACTTTTTGTCTTTATTTTTTTACTTTTGGTGGTAATGACTCAGGCGCTCTTCGTATTACTGGCTGTGCAACGCCCTGGACGTGTACTGCCCCGTTCAGTGGGAATATGGCCGCTTGAACCTCACGTACACCGTTGTGTCCAAGAGAAAAATAATCAAACTGGTTGAGACGGGTGTTGTCAGGTAAAAGAGCATTTTATTCTCTTTTTTTTTTTTTGTTCGATAGATTGTTGTTCATAGCTTTTCTATAGCTCTATAATGTTTATCTAGAATGTGTTAAACTGATCTGACTTTGGTTATTAGGCAGATAAATGTTTTCTGATCGCTGTATCCAATCATGCAGGGGTCTCATATATTTTTAATTCTGAATTTTTCCTAGTAGTGTAAAATTTGCAATACAATTGAAGTTAAAGTGAAAAGATGTTTTTAATGGTTCATGATCAAACATGTGTGCACATTGCTTGCATATTTTTTTTGTTATTGTTTTGGGAGCAGTTAGAACCTCAACAAAAATCTGCCTGCTAGTTGCTATCTGGGAGGTTTTATGAGGTGTTCTATGCCAAAGATTTTGCTGGCATGCAATCTCAGGGTGACGCAAATATGATATTTGCGTCATAAAAATTGCAACCAAAAAGGCTTCGGTTTAGTAGCAGCTGTCTTTACAATAAACACTTTTAATACATTTTTGAAGACGATTGATTTCTACCATCATGAGGAACTTCAAACCTTATTCTCCACTTTAAATTTGCAGCAGCTTTTTTCAATCCAAGAGCATGTCTGTTCCAGTGAGTGTAGCGTCTGTTCTCTAATTACAGAGACTGGGATGATCCCAGACTCTTCACTCTTACTGCACTGAGGAGAAGAGGGTTCCCTCCTGAAGCCATCAATAACTTCTGTGCACGGGTATGCAGAATAGATGGAACAGTGGAGCAAAAAGTACTTCAATGTGAAATTGGGATGCTGTGCCGTGACAGTGTGACTCATCCCTTTCAGGTGGGGGTGACAGTTTCCCAAACGACTACAGAGCCCCACCTGCTGGAGTCCTGTGTGAGGGATGTGCTGAATGACGCGGCTCCTCGGGCCATGGCTGTGCTGGAGCCTCTTAAAGTCACCATAACCAACCTCTCTGAGAGCACAAAGGTTTGTACCACACATCAATTCAATTTTTCAATTCAATTTTATTTATATAGCGCCACATCACAACAACAGTTGTCTCACAGCGCTTTCCAAACAGAGCAGGTCAGACCCTACTCTGAAGTTAACTACAGAAACCCAACAATTCCCATGAGAGCGAGGATAAATCAATATTTTTGTAATTTTATATTGTCACTTTTTTATGTATCTGAACTCATGAGTTAATCACACTGTTTATTTTACTCTCAGTTGGATGTACGGGTTCCAGACTTTCCTGCCAATGAGGCCAAGGGCAGCCACACGGTTCCGTTTACACGAACAATTTTCATTGAACAGACCGACTTCAGAGAGGTTGGAAAGGAATAAAGCTGATGAACGCAGTCTTAATACTAATGAAAGTTTTATTTGTGTGTAAGTTTTGACAGAGGATGGTCATAAGATTTCCATTTTTTGTAGGTGATGGAGAAAGGCTACAAGCGTCTGACTCCAGAGCAGCCAGTGGGCCTGAGACATGCTGGGTATGTCATTTCTGTCCAGAAGGTCATCAAAGTAAGTTGAAGTATATTTACGCCTTGCTCTTAGAGAAAAGTGAAGAAAAAAAGATAAATAGTTTCTAAAGTAAAATTTTCATTACACTGGACTTTTTATTTTCAAAGATATTTCGGTTTAATGTATAACAATAATCCTTTTTTGTCCCTTGATGAGTACATTTTCGGTTATCTTTTTTTAAAATCTCAAACTTATGTGTATAGGTGCATGGAGCTTTTTACAATGACATGCCAGACAATCTTCACCTTGTTATAACCCTAACCCTAACCCTTAACGAACAACTAATATCTGATCAAACTTTGCAACAACCCCACTTGATAGATCTCTTTCTGTTATGATGATAGATTCGACATACCTGCTTGTTCAATCAGTCACACACATCCACACTGTGCTCTTCTTTCTTAGGACTCTCAGGGTAAAGTGGTGGAGCTGGAGGTGACCTGCTGCAGCTCTGACACTGCAGAGAAACCAAAGGCCTTCATCCACTGGGTCAGTCAGCCGCTGATGTGCGAAGTGCGTCTTTATGAAAGGCTGTAAGTCACATACAACCACATTCACCTCCAACAAATAGCCTGCACAGAAACCAAACTGGGAGTTGTTTATGTCTTTGTAGATTCCAGCACAAACATCCGGAGGATCCATCTGAAGTGCCCAATGGCTTCCTGAGTGACATTAACCCTGTGAGTACCAGTGTATTTCTCCAGAGGAAATGCTTGGATTAATGGATGTTTGAACGGGGGAGAGACACTTCAATACTTACATTTCCATCTTTTATTTTCAGGATTCCCTCCAGGTGATCAGCAGTGCCTTAGTGGATACCTCAGTCAAGGGAGCAAAAGTGTTTGACAAATTTCAGTTTGAGAGAGTCGGATACTTCTCCCTGGACCCCGACAGCTCCGCCAACAAGGTACAGAAAAACGTCATCTGCACCAATTATGTCGGCTTTTATTCTTGTTTAATCATTGGTCAGGTTTACACTGGAACTGCTTTAGAAAAATGCTAATTGGGAACACTAACTGCAACTTTGATCTTTTCATTCTCTTCAGCTCATCTTCAACAGAACAGTCACCCTCAAAGAAGACCCTGGGAAGATCTGATGGGCTATAGATCAAGCTGCACATCTTGCTTCCCACAAACCCGCTGATTACATGTTAAAATTGTTTGCATTTCTTCTTTTGTAATACCAACAAGGGCCTCGTAAATATGATAACAGCGAGGAGAAAGATGAAATGCTCTGTACTTGGAATCAACATTTCTAAATGGCGCTTCAAGCACATTACAAATGAATTTGGAATTAAAGAAACGTTCATTGCTTAGAAGGGACATTTTGCATGAAGGTTGTGTATAAACTCAGCTGGTATTACAAAGATGAGGTGCTTACAAATGCCATATTTGATTTTCTTACAAAGGTAGTGGGTAACTGTCCGCCCACCACTTGTTTTTAAGACCCTCTGGGTCCCTTTGGGAAGAAAAAATAAATTGCATAATTAAACATAAAGACTGTCTCTTCTGATCTTTAAAAAAAAAAAGAATTTGGAATACACTTTCACATAGTTTGTATCCTATAGTTTAGTTTGTGTGCAATATTTATTCTATCATATGTTTAAAGCATTATGTTTTTTGCTGAATACACCTCCTGCCCTGGTTTTAAGCACTGTTTTTATTGTAAGAAATAGTGTAATCACAAGTTGCTATTTCAGTGATAGGTGAAACATTCATTTAAAAATTATTTCCAAAGAAAGGATGCATGTGCTATTACACGAGGCATACATAATGAGGATAAATATAAGTTTAGGTTTGACTTTAGGGGGATAAATATGAGCTCCTGTGTTGTATTCAGTAATGACAGCTGAATACAAGCACGACTGAAAAATAAAAAAAATTTAAGCAAATTTATGCTTTTGAACTTTAACATTGCCCAATGTGGGTTCACACAGTGTCACAATATAGTGCGTGGGAATTAACCCACGACTGGCCAGAGCTTTTCATGAACAACCAAAAAGTTAGGCATATCTCTCTGCAACTACCTTAAAAGATTCGAAGACCATTGAACCACTAGGAGCGTTTCTCTGGCATAACTGTGATTTTAAGGTGGACTGTCATCTGTTCTCTCCTGCCCGCTGCTTTGGTCGTGTAAGTCGCCTTTAAAAACCTACCACGCAGGTACTAGTTATCGCGATATCGTGTGTAGGAAATACCGCGAGGGAGCAAAAGACTTACAAATCGGTCGCCCATTGGTCTGATGGCACTGTTGTAAGATGGCGCCCAGCGAAATATTATTAATGTAGTGAAAGAAATTTTACAGCTAACCATCTGAAGACACCAACGATATAATAAAGACTTTAACAGCTACGGAAAAAAATAGTCGCACGTTGCCTGCCTTTTGGTCAGAAGAAGAGCGCTGTTTTAAGGGCACGGACGCGCTTGTGGGCGGCTGAAACCTCGGCCCGTTTAGGAAGAGAGGTAGTTCACGCGCCTGCTAATGCTAACTTGCCAGCTTTGGATAAACCAGAACATAATTGGTGTTATGTTGCCAACACAGGAAGGGCAACACTAGATTACTGCATTTATTGCAGGTACAATTTAAAACTGAGTTATTTTCTCTAGCGTTGTTATAATGGCAGTGACGTGTCTTTCGGTGCTCTGTAGGTCTAATTTGCAAACAACACGCGGCTAGTTAGCAGTATACCTGGCTAACCTAGCATATTGTGTAATCAGCAGCTAGATTAGATGTTGTTCAGATCGCGTTCCATATGGATAACAGTGATTTGATTTGTGGTTTAAACTTGCATGTGCTTTGATTCAGTTGTCTGAAAGCCAACTTTGCATCAGATTTGGAAAGTGACCGCGCTTTTGTCCCAGCTCGTTTACACGCAGAAAAAATTAACCCTTTCCTATTACGATCCCTGTGTTAACACCGGTCAACGAGTAGGAGCTCGGATCGTTGTCAGTACAGCGTTGCTGTGTTTTTCTTGTTTATTGTATGTCATAAATCTATGTAGTCAGGGCTTTATGTCTACAAGATTGTTGACTGGCGTCCTGTAATGCAGTTCATGTTTTTGACTGGTTCATTTTGTAAATATTCGTGCTTCTGTGTAACGCTGTTTTTTAAACATGTTTATAACTACCTACAGGTTCTGTTCTGCACTGTTTGCTGCAATGAACAATTCAATGGATGGCACAGGCTCCTATGAGGAGCTTGTCAGGCAGAAAGCTCGGAGCATTCCTCAACATCGCATGAAGGAGTTCCTGGAGTCTTTGGCCAGCAAAGGACCGGATGCTCTGCAGGAGTTCAGCCAACAAAGTGGAGACACTACAACCACCACCACAACCATGGTTTACCAACAAGAGGCCAACTGCATCTACACAGACAGCACTGAGGTGGCAGGATCGCTGTTGGAGCTGGCGTGTCCGGTAAACAAACGGTTTCAAGTTTATAGTGAAGGCCCTGATCAGATATGAATGTAGTGTTTGTACTAAATCTATTTTTTGCTTTATTGACCTCTGATCAGCACTCTGGTCTGATGCAGGTTCAAGTGCAGGTTCAGCCACAGCAGCAGATACAGGAGTCCACATCCCAGCAGCAGCCCGTGCAACAGAATACAGAGCAGCAGATAGTTCAGGTCTGTATGTCTAGAATGCTATAAAGTGAGTGGTAACCCAGTACTGATCCTTAAAATGATACAGTGCCTTAATATTGCTCTGTAAACTGTTCTATTTAGGTGCAAATTCAGGGTCAGCAGCAAGGTCAGATGCTCAGCCAGGTTCTCCAAGTACCCTCTGGCTCTCATCAGCAGCTTCAGAATGTGACTACTGCACAGCTGATTCAGCCCGGGGACCTGACAGAGGAGCAGCACCAGCAGGTGTGCACATAAACACAGTAGGCACACGTTTTTGTTTATGCATCACGTTCAATTCTGTTGACCTATTTTTGACCATTTTGTTCCAGCTGCAAGCCCAACTTGTTGCTGCTGTCGCAGGAGGACAACAAATCCAAATCCAGACAGTGGGGGCCCTCTCACCCACCCAGCAGCAGGACAGTGCAGAGAGAAGAACAATGGGAGCCACAGTTGCCACATCCCAGGGGGCAGGTGTCCTCCAGCCAGCCAAGAAGCGCAAAGTGGACATGCCCATCACTGTGTCCTACGCTCTCCCGGGTCAGCAGGTAGCCACAGTCTTGGCCATCCCTCAGGGCCAGGGCCAGCAGCAAAGTTATGTGTCGCTGCGGCCAGACCTCCTAACTGTGGACAGTTCCCACCTTTACAGTGCCACTGGTACTATCACAAGTCCCACAGGGGAGACGTGGACCATCCCCGTGTATTCTGCCCCGGCTGGATCGGGAGGCCGGGAGCAGGTGACACACATTGCCATCCCCCAGGAGGCATACGGAACTGTGCAGGTTGCGGGTACAAACACTACAACGATGACCACAATGCCGACCCAAGTCACTGTTGAAAATGACAAGCTGAAAATCCCCGCCAGTCAAAGTCAGACGGCGCAAGCTGTGTCCAGCATAACCAGCTCCGGAGGAATGAGCAGCCAGGAGGAAGTGGTGCACACGCTGGCTGCAAACACGCTGTTCCCGGCTCAGTTGATGAACGGAAACATACACATCCCCGTGGCCGTACAGGGCTACTCTAACGCTACACAGTCCCTTATTTGGGACCCGCAGCAGCAGGTGCTGCACACACAGGGGCTGTCAGGGCAGGATGCACAGCAGCTACAGGTAACGACACAGGGATTCAGCCATGTAGGAGTTACAGCTCACCGATGCGTGTCCTCAGCCTAGCTGACAGAACAGCTTTTTTTTTTTGTCTATGCAGGGTCAGACAGTGGTAGCTGAGGTGGATGGTCAAGGCCAGCAGCAAGTGCAGGTGCAGGAGCTTCTGCTACCTGCCACACTGAAGCCAGAGGAGGGACTGGACGTGTGGCGGCTTTGGGCTCATCACAAAAATACAGAGTTGGAAAAATCGGATACGAATAAACTGGCCCCAATAGGACGTAAGTCAGCAAGTTTGAACAAAAAAACAAATCAGTAATTTTTTTAACCAAATTTCATGTTTTAGTTTTTTCTACTTTTGGACCTTTTGCCCACTTGTTTAGTTGTTCTTTGTAACTGTGATGTGTTGATGTTTCAGGGCGCCAGGCGCTGCGTTTCCAGGAGGACTTGGTGTCATGCGCGGTGGCTGAGCTCTGCATGGGTCTATCTATGATGACCACAGAGGCCCGGGGATTGGAAGGGGAATCCTATGAGGCCGATGTGCTTTACTATGTATTTCTGTGCATACAAAAAGTGAGTTCTTCACATCCACACTACAGTGAAATTCCAGAGGGCATTGTACAGTGTTTTATTCATTCACAGGATGAAATTTAATTTCTTTGTATGTTTTGTGTTTGATTGGAAATGCTGCCACAGGGGAACAAGAACCTCTGATTATAAGATTTTTCACTTGTTCAGTAAAGAATAGGAATTATTTCAACCCTAGCAGTTGTTCTCATTTCACCCTGCCATATTTTCACTAATGCAGAATTGTATTACAATCATTACTTTCAAGTTTGAAATGATAATTTATGCAGGAGACAACCTTCCTGACTCCCCAACATGCTGCAGAATCCTGTTACTTACAGAAGTCCTATAAGGATAAACTAAGCACATTCGTGGCCACTGAACTTTGTGGAAATGTGGGAATGAGAGTGAATGTTTTGTGTGCTGTTAGATGTCACTGTGTCTCACACACTGTACTGTTAAACATTTCCAGATAGTTGCGTCATGCTGGGGGTGATACTGATAGTCTAAATCTCTTCTTTTTTCCCCCTGCAGTATCTTTTTGATAACGGTCGCGTGGATGATATTTTCTCAGATCAGTACTACACTCGCTTTGCTCGCAGTCTACACCAAATCTTGGAGCCCTGGAGACCGTCTGTCCATCCATTAGGTGGGTCAAAAAGTGTTGTTTTTATCGAAGCCTTTGTGATTGTCCCTAGTTTTTTTTCTGTAAAATAAACATTGATATATTGGAACATACTTTGTCAAACAGTGTTTATAAAGTAGTAAATGGAAGACTCTCTGCTCAGGATGTTAGACTTTCTGCCATTTCTCAGCCTGAAATAATTTGGCCCATAATGGCTTCTGTATATAATAAAAAAGAAAAACCTTTTGCTATTTGTATGTTAAAATAGTAAACTATTCAGGGAAAAATATATATAAGTATAGTTAATTTAACTCTATTCACTTAGAATAGTTTCTGTGCCATTTGTTGCTAATTGATAGCTTTTTTCATGTATAGTCCAACTCTTTATCATATACTATGTACCTCCTATCCCAGGTTATATAATCCCCAGTCATGTGACAGAGGAGATGCTTTGGGAATGTAAACAGCTTGGAGCTCATTCTCCCTCAACACTGCTCACAACCCTCATGTTCTTCAACACAAAGTGAGTTTCACAGGGTCCCCGTGGTGCTCACTGTGGCCGTTTGATGTTGCACAGTTTTTTCTGAAATCTTTCCCTCATGTTATCTTTTAAGTATAAGGCTGCTATCAGAGAAGTTTGTCCTTTTTCTGATTTAAAACCCACCTGTTTATGGTTTCAGGAGTCAGATGTTGTAGTATAGTAAACAAAGCATTATATTTTAATAATGCCCGACAGGCTGGAATTTTATAACTACTTGTGGCCTTGGAGTAGTCCAATCATCCTTTTTTCACTAGAACAAGAATCCTTTTGAGCTTCATGGATACTTTGCAACTTTTTTTGTAGGTATTTCCACCTAAAAACTGTGGAACAGCATCTAAAAGTGGCCTTTTCAAAAGTGTTGAGACACACCAGGAAGAGTCCCAATAACCCCAAAGACAAGAGCACCAGCATCCGTTACCTGAAGTCCACAGAGAGGTTCATAGGGCAGAAAGGTAATGGCGTCAATGGATTTTATTCTGTTGTATGTGCTGACCTGTTTGAGAGGAACCACTGTTATTATTATGAATCAAACGTTTTTCTTCTTACGTTTTTTTGATTCAGTAACAGATGACATGTACTCAGAACAGCTGGAAGACCCAGACAACCCTTTGCGATGCCCCATCAAACTCTATGACTTCTACCTCTTCAAATGGTAAATATGAAACGGTGGCAATGAAGAATGTCAGTGTGAGAGCGAGCAAGAAGCCAGACTGTAAAACAATGCAAACTTAAAAAAGGTAAAGCCATTATTTGCGAGCAAAAACAAAACAATTTAAGTATTGTTTTACCAAGCAATGAGCAGTGGCCAGGTTAATATGAGAGCAGTTTTTGAGAAGAGACCCTGCCTCTGCATACGGCAGAGTTCCTGCCATCAGCATAAGAGGGTGGAGTCAATGCTGCACTCTGTGCTTGAATTCCTCCAGTGTGAAAAACACTGTTGCTTGGCAACTGACAAAAACTTTGATGTTCTAAAATATTTCGTTCTGCACTCGTCTCCAACGGGGAAACATTTTGACTGCTTCTGCCATTAAACATCGCTAATGGAACTGAACAGTTCTTTCTTGTGTCATATTTCTCAATCTCAATCTCAGAAAGTTGGGAAACATGTGAGATCTTTGTCACTGTTAAGACAAGAGAACCAAATCTGCTGTTTATAGCAGCGTAGAAAAATGATCAATCTACCATTCCTCTTTACCTAACTGAATAAAAGTTTCAGTTTGCGTGCTGTAATACTTGACATTTGATTAATAAATGCACAATCTTCTGTGTTTTGTCAGTCCACAAAGTGCTAAAGGCCGCAACGACACCTTCTACCTGACCCCAGAGCCTGTGGTGGCTCCAAACAGCCCCATCTGGTACTCAACTCAGCCAATCTCAAAAGAGCAGGTGGAGCAGATGCTCGCCCGCATCCTCGCCGTCCGTGAAATCCAGGAAGCCATGAACCTGTCAGAGGCTGTTCAGTAGTCAAAACTGACAAAAAAGGACTCCTTCCCTTTTTCTTCACCCAGCCTTTGAATGCTCATCATGAGTAGTTTTCTACTCTCACCCTACGCTGTTGTCTTTTGGGGGGGGCATTTTATGTTTATATTCATTGTGTGTCAGCCTATCTTAAGCACGCACAGACTGTACAGACGCGTACAACCAGTACACGATGGTTAGTCTCACTGAGGCCATCACACAGACGGTTGTTCTTTTTCTTTTGGCCAAAGGATGTAGTGTCTAATCTTTTTATTGGACCTGAACTCTAATTTAAATGTTATTTTAACTGTTGGTGCTCCTCACCAATAGTCTGGAATGATAGTTGATTTAGCCTGTAAATAGCATATATTTTCAGTGGAGATGGTCGCTTCTCTTCGCTCTTCTTCATCTGCCTTGCACACTGGCAAGTTTCCGAGAATACCTCAGTGGTATTAAAGCTTCATCCAGCAGACAGCACACTCTCCTTCAAATTCTGTTTATTCTGTCTGCATATTTCTCTTCTGTCTGTGCTGAACTGACATGATTCAGACTGGAGTCTTAGAGAAGACTGGATTAGTATTCGGTGCTGCTCCAGCTGTGGTGCCCCCTGTGGGGGGGGGGGGTGGCAGCATCTGCTCACATCAGGACTTCAGTATCCACCATGGACTTTATTGCAAAATGCTTTCATCGCTCCACCTGCAGCCATTAGCACTTTGCCACATGCTTCAGATGAAGGTCGGAGGACGCTGCTCTCTGTGGGATTCTCTTTTTCTCTCCTCAGGACATCAACAACTCCTAGACTCGCCTGAAGAGGGATCTATTGTATCATACATGTCTATTAATACTACAAAACGGATGAAAGACTCTTATAAAGTGGGTAAACCCCTTATGTTCTATAATGTATAATACTCATAGCTCCTCCATGAACTGTAATGGTATTCAGTCATCTAAGGAGAATGGCAGTGCCTGTGTGTTTTTTGAAACATGACCTTTTTTGTACAGCCACTACACCATGTGTCTGCCTTTGTGGTGTCCATACTGCACATGCATCTTAAAGTAATGATAACCTGCAATCTGTGATACAAACAACCCCCACAATGTTCCTTAAAAAAAGTCTTAATAAAAATCATCTGACAGCAGAAATTCATCAGTAAAAAAAAAAGGCCAGCAAATTGAAACATGAACTGTCCAGTTGAAGAAAGGTCTGTGACCTGATGTGCTCTGCCGGCTGGGTGTCCCTCTGGGTAAAGGCTGCAGTCTCTGTTTTCTCAGGAATCGCAGGGTAAGTAACAAGTAGAATAACAGGTCTGACCTGGTGAGGCGGATTATTTCCACATTTTCCCCTCGGGTTACAAAGCAAACTGCTGTCTTTTCAAAGCACTTATGTACTGTACTTCTTTGTTATGTGCGCTCTGCCTGCAGGGACCTGCGGTGTATACAAAGCTTTCTCTCTGCAGCATCTCTCCCAACGGAAGTTGAAACACTTCAATACGATCCGACGCGTATAGAAATATGAAGTCGTTCAGGGGTTCTGCGAGGCCTGGTTTGTCTGTGATAAAGAGGGCAGCATCCTCCTCAGTAGGTTCCTGGGGTGTAAAATCTGTACTAGAGTCTGCGGTTGGTCCGGTGGGGGCTTCTGGCGATGTTTGTGTTGTCTCCTCCCGGCTTGGTCTCCCTGTCGCGATGACTGTTGAGGTTGATCCCTGCTGTGTCGCTTTGTGCTCACGCTGATGTTTGGTCCTCTGGAGACAAAGAGCATGTCACATGCGACCAGTGATGCTTGTTCAATCACTGCATATTTCTGTATTCTCACCTTACAGAGGCCCCTCCACTTAGCCAATATTGCAGACAGTGATGGATGAAAAGATACTGCTCCTGAGTAAACACACGCAGTAAAAAAAATGAACAAGAGAATAGACTCAAATTGATAAGAAGCTAAAGAATACAGCCAATGCCAACAAATATTACATTTCAGCAATATGAAAATATGCCAAAATTAGGTCTCTGACAATGATAACATCCACTTATGGACTAAAGGAACTTAAATCTGTATAATATATCTTAATTTAATGGACATTTCTACATGAATGGTTTTTTTCCAAAGTCTGAGTTTGTTAATGCATTACATTTAGCAAAGAGCTACAGCCATTAGCTGCTTTTCAGATTAAGTCTTTTGATGTAATACCCATTTAAATTTTGTTTTAGTGCTGCACATTCATTTATGTGATGACAGATATAACACTTTCTCAATCTATTAAGATATTCCAGATATGACTCAATACATCCAAACAGATTTTGTACCACAAGTGAGCACTCACCAGAGTCTGGACCATGAGCATTCGATGGAGCCGCAGGTCCTCCACGGCCGTTCTGATGTCCGGCTGGATCCCTCTCACACACAGCTGCATCAGCCACAGTAAAGTCACAAATGTCCCCGACCGGCCAACACCTGCACTGCATCACATAACCCAGAAATAACCTTTAAACACAGTGTGAGTGATCCTTTTACACTGCCACTGCCCCCAGAGACATGCCAACCTGAGAGCTTTCCTTAATGGATTGTTGGATAAAAAGTCAGAGATGATACCTGCAATGGACCACAGACGGCCCCAGATGAGGAATGGCATCCAAATGTTGCCGTATATGCTCAATAAAGGCAGAGAGAGAAGACGTGTTTGGGACTCCCTGATCTGGCCAGGAGGGGTAGTGGTAGTGAGTTATCATCCTGTCATTTGGACTGTCCCACTAAACCACAAGAGGAAGCACACATTGAAGTGAGTGGAGGCTCCTGGAAGACACGAGGGTGATGAATGTGCCTCTCACTCACCTGTCGCAGGTTAATGGTTGTGATAAAATAATCTGGACCTTGTTTGCGAGCCACTGTTGTCACTTGGAACGGTCCATGATAAACTGTCCCTTGTTCCAGAGGCCAGTACTTATCACACAGGACCTGCACACACAGAACTGAGAATCAAAAAAGGAATGTCTAATGTTATGTGCAGTACAAAGAAACCTTACAAACCCTTTAGGATATCATATTCTCCCCATAATAGTGACTGTGAGTGTGTGTGGCCCTGGGATGGACTGGCCACCTGTCCAGAGTGCATCCTGCCTCTCACCCAACTACGAACATTCCATATCAAAGGAATGGTTTTACATTTTGGGAAATAGCGATTAACCCATCATTGCTTACAGTCGTGTGACACACACATATTTACAACCACAAACTGGTTTGTTTAGTTCAGCACATTATGCCTGCATTTTTCTACATGTTGCCACATACATATCTAAAAACACCGGACTAAGAAAGGGTCATCTGGGGTCTTACTGTGCTCTTGTGTTTCAGAGCTGTCACCATGACGATAATCCTGACGTTTTGCTCCCACACCATTCTCCAGAAGTCAGCTGTGGTGTTGGGCAAAGGCCCCTGGGTGCAGATGAAGTCTCTCTCTGACCCTCCACCCTGGATTAACACACACAGCCACAAACAGAGAGATGATGACCCCCGGCAGGATATAAAAGTGGGTCAAAAGAAAGAAAAAAAGTTCTTACCGGCACAAAATTTGCATTGATGTAATCAGAGTATGGATTATTGTTAACAACTGAGAGCCTCACCCGACAGTGATCGTCTGCAATTAGATGTGGGCAACAGGCAATAAAAATACCTCAAACATTGCTTCACACTCCAGCTGTAATCTGTTTTAAATAGAGGAGCTTAGCACTCACAGGGCAAAACGAACTGGTATCTGTTCTTTTCTTTGTTGGCTTCTAATTCCCCAGCTCTGGTGGGGAGGACTTTGCCAACTTCATTCAGCTCCTGAAGACAGCCAGAGACATTCACACATATGACGTGCGCTTAAAAAACAATAAGTCTGATCAAAGTTCCCTTTTCCCCAAAGTTACCCTAAACTCTTGTTTAAAGCCTCTGTTGTCATTGGCTGCCAGTGTGTGGTATCTGAAGTTCAACTCCTGCAGAATTTGTGATCTTGAGAAAGTTTCCATCCTGTAAAAAAATCACATTTATTTGTTGTAGATTAAGGATAATTAAGGCTGAATATTTTCTTCGTAGTTAACAAATAGTCAAATCAGAACTCATTTCTTTTCTCGCAAGTAATCATGACCCATTGACTTACGGCGAAATGATTTTCAAAAATTAAAACCATGCGATAAACTGACAAGCTGAAGGCATTGTTCACGTCTGGATATCTGCTTACTCTTGTCATAAAACATCTACCTTTATCTTGTCAACAGAGAAGTGTGTTACACCAGAAAGGGCTGATTCAGAATAAATAAATGTCAGGTCAACTTCCACCCCTCTTGTTGCCCTGGCTGTTGCGATTGAGAGGCTGACGTGAAACGGACTGAACAAGTTGAGGCCTACTCACCTGACAGGTAAGAAAACCTGTTCCTTCAGGTTCTCCCCCGTAAACACCGGTGGAGGGTCAACACAGCTGTCCGGCCGTGGCGTAGACGCAGCTTTTCCTCTGTGACTGGGCCTCAGATTAATGATTTAAGTCTGTCACAGCCCGAAGAGGAAGAGCTGAGGGCCGTCCTGCCCCATGACATCCTAAACTTGTCAGGTTCTGGCTGTGCTCTCCCTGTAATGCCGGACAGGAAGAAAGGTGATAGGTGGAGCCAGTGGGCGGAGACAGAAACTTCAGGGAAGGGATGTCAGCATATGATGGCCTCAGCTATTCTGAGTACTCACATTGTCACGCCTTGTTTTGACACTAAACGTTCTTACCCCTTTTTCTGGATTGCGGCTTTCTCAGAACTGACACATTCTTGTTTAAGTGTTAACCCTGCCAGCAGAAGTTGTTTGTGTGGGGTGTTACAAATAGATTTGTTGACATAGAAGATGGAGGCCATTCATGTTTGGCTTGTTTGTTGTAATAAAGTTTCAGCTACATTTGTGGACATTTGTCTGTTTGTCGACTTTAGTGATTTCTGGAAGAGCTCCTGAACTCAGTCAGTGTGTTTTTTTAAAGTGAGGGCTCACATGATGACTTGCAGATTGTCCTGGCCTCGCTAAGCACTGTGACTTTCAGCAGTAACTCAGTTA